CTGGGCACAGGTTCAGTTTAACCTATTACCCCAACATTATGGCTAACAGGTCTTAGTTCAGAATAGAATCCTTCCCAATGCAGGACCCTGGCATTTCTTTGGGATGCCAGCACTTTTCACATGTTCGTGATCTGTTTGGACAGTTTTAGGGCTCATGCACACGGCCATAAGACAAATGCAGCATTTTTGTTTTATTGATGGCTCTAAACACAGGTGTATTGTTTTCTATGGGTCTATGCACACATCTGGGTGAAGATCAAATAAACTTGCACTGAATTCGGATACGTGAAATAAAATCAAACCTCATTGGCTGACTAAAATGACATAAAAAGGCATGAAATTGCATGTACATGTAATAGAACTCTATGGAAGTACATTGTTAACCACTTCAGGACCGCCAGACGTACATATACGTCCTCATCCTAAACTGGTTGTGCCAAGAGCCATGATCTTGATATCGTCTTTTTCGGGGCGGCTCTACAGTGTAGCAGCCTGCTAATGTTACTAAAGCTCACTTCTGCTTTAAGACTGTCGTTTTGTAACATGTCATGTGGAGGCATCCTTTTCTCTAAGGTAACCTACTTGTTATCATTCATTTAAAACTTGTTCCCAATATGTGTTTGTGTGTGCTCTTATGCAGTTTGCTATATTATAGGAACTTGATGGTAAGCAAAAAATGTTATGACATGGGTAGATATGAATTTATATGTACGAATTCAGTAACATGATTTTTTTTTTAAATATTTAACACATTTTCATTGCTGTACGTAGAAAAAAAAAGGCTTTCAAATGTGCTTTAGCAGAACCAAATCTCCTTTACTTATCTTACTTTATCCCATTTTGGAAATGTATTATTCAATTTAACCAGTGGATGGGTAGAATAATGGAATTCAGGATGCAGGTAATCAAATACCAGGAACCTGGCAACGTGTGCATCCATTGACCTTAGTGGAAATGACTGCAGAAAATACAGATGCCACCCATTTATACTTCAAACAAAGTCCATGAACCCATCGCACTCCTAACCGCTTAACTCCAAAAATGATCGGATGGGTGCAACGGTAATCAAGGGGTGGCAACCGTCATGTATCAGTAGAAGCAGAGACACCGGCACTCCAATATAAACGTGGAAAGTCTTCTTTATTGAAGAGTTGCAACATATCACATAGATGCAACGACCGTTTTTGGGGTCACGCAGGATCCCCTTCCTCAATCAGTGACATTTATACTTCAGGCACACTGACTAACTGGCTCCTGGTCTAGCCCTTCCTTAAGGCATTATAATCTAGTACGCATGCAAGTATTTACACTGTTATAGTTTATAATTCACTGTAACCATATAATTGCAGAATCTCTTCTGGTCTGATTTTAACACACTCTAGAAAAAACGAGCAGTTACCCACAGTGCAAGGGTTAGCTACTCATTTTTCTCTAGGAGCCAGAGTACAGAAAACATGCTCACTTGATCCTCGGTCCTGTGGTGGTCAGCACTCACCTTTTAGACCTCTGGAGCCTGGGGGAGAAAAAAAGCTCCGGGGACCAGTCTAGGATCAAGTGAGTATTTATTGTATTCAGTCCCTAGAACAAAACCAGCAGTTGACCCTTGCAGTGCTTGGGAAGCCCCACTGGAAGGCTTAACTGTTAATTTTTGGGGTTCTCCTTTAAAACTGAAGAAAAAAAATGTACCTTTGTTGTGGGTCCCCCTACCCATTGCAAAGTCTAACTGCTCATTTTACCTAGGGGATGATGAATAAGGTGATATACTTATTGGTTTCCTCACTCCTATGGCAGCTAGTGCGCTCCTCCACTATCAGACACTCTGGAATATGAGGCTGATTTTGAAGAGAACCTGACTGGATATAATTCTGCAGACTTACCTAACAAAGATGTAAAGTTAACCTTTTATTCAGCTTTATATCTATTTATTAGTTATAACTGTATCTATCTAGTATATAGCTGTATCTATAGCTGTATCTATCTATATCTATTCTATCATGAACACTCAGCATGTATAATTAGCAGAGTCCAGGCAACCGCTTAATACCCAATACCTATAAAATAAGTCAAAACTTTTTTTTTTCCACATTTTATTTTCTGTTTTCTGGGTTGTGGTTTTTAGGGGTTTTTTTTGTAATTTTTGTCCATTTAAAGAAATGTCCCCTTTTTTCCCTGCCATGTAGACACAACAAGAAGTGAGAGGAAATTTTCTTAGTCACTGTCACTTGTCACTAGAACAAGTGACTCCATTGGATTTCCCCTCTGTCCCTGTTCTAGTGACTGCACCACATTTCGGATATGTACCTTGTTCAGAAAGGGTATATCTCTGTAATAGGTACTTTGACAGCAGAAAAATCCTTACTGCATTTCTAACCCCCTCACTACTCTCTATTTAAAATGGAAAAATATCCTTGGGTTTAGATACAAGATTAGGAGCATTTTGGCCTTTTTTCGTTTTCGTTTTGTTTTATTATTATTCCTTTTTTGCTAACAAGCATATCGAATGGCCAGAGTTATAGTATACAGCAGTACAGTCCTCTCACTATTCAGGGATAGATTTGGAAAACAATTAAAGCAATAACGTAAAAGAAAAATGGAAAAAAAAAATCCCTTCCAAAATGCTTAAAGCCACATGAACATACAACAACAACAATTATGCAACACATGCTGGGTATCACCATGCATGCTGGACTTGGAGGAATAATTGTAGGGTGATCTTTTATGGTTACCACTAAGGTGATGACCTGTGAAGGCTTTTAAGGTCTCCTTATGGACAGTGTATTTAAACCGTTTTGTTGTCATATATGCATATCATATGTCGGCAGCAACGCAGGCTTGTTCACAAACTCCTGGTTGCTATTACAGCCAAGAGTTTGTTTTTATTTCCTAAGCTGACTGTTGGCTATCTGGCGGAAGTAATTCAGGTGGCTGTAAAGCCGCCTTGGTCACTTCCACAGGTACAATAAGGGCTTATTCAGACAGTCATGCATGCCAGTAAAGAGACGCGACCCTGGAAGGGACAGGTGCTGCGTGTATTTGTGTGCAGCAGCCTGTACTTACCTATGGGAGGACATCTGTGCATTTCTCGGGGCTTGTGCTTGGATGCAGGCAATGTGCATCCAAATGAGGGCACCCGGACCCACATGCATGCACTGGTTTGGGTCTGCATGTGACCATGTAATTGCATGCACCCGCATCCTCCCATAGGGAAGAACAGGCTGCTGCTCGCAATTACATGCAGCACCTGCCCCTTCCATGATCGGGTCTTTTTATGGGTGTGCATGGCGTACAGACTTGCACGCCCATCTGAATGAGCCCCAACATATTCTTAACCCCCCTTGTATCGGAGCTGATGCCAGGCATTTTCACCAGGTGACGAGGAAGCATGCAGCTGGGTGGCGAGTCATTACACGCCGCCTGACTTCTTGATTGTCCAGGAAGCGCAATGCTCCTTTGTCAGCAAGCAACGAGGGAGCATGGAGTCGGCTTGCCGGGCAGTGTGTAATGACTCGCCGCCCCCCTCATGATGGCATTCACAGTTAATGACAGTGACATTGTAGGCCACCTAACCACTAGGAGTTTGTAGACAAAAAATAATTAAATTTTTGCTTTTAGTTTTAGACTAGAAAGTACAGAAAATGTTCTGAAATCCTAGGGATGTGAGGTGTTTCCAAATAAAAAGACAAATACATTTTTTTAATGCATTTTTTTAGCTGTGCTATTTTAAAAATTCAAAACTGGGGCAAAAGTGTTTTCTTTTTTTTTAATACACATTATTTATACTAAAGTAGGCGTTAGGCGCACATATGTGATATAAATATATAGCCCTATCTGTCCTCTAAAAAACAATATATAATATGTGTGGGTGCACTTAGTAAGAAAGTATATTACTGCAGTGGAAGAATTGCACAGCAAAAATGTAAAAAGTGCGTCAGTCATTAACGAACAGAAACTGAAAAAAAGCTCAGTCATGAAGAGGTTAAAGGAAAGTTAAAAAAAAAAAAATTTGGGAGTGTGTGTGTGAGAGATTGTGTCTGCTGTTGTGTGTGTCTGTCAGTGTTTTTAAGGACCCGTTCACACTAGTACAGTACATAAATCGCACAGTCCCGTGTGATGCATTGTATCACGCAATTACACCTACCTCACATTCTGGTGCGGGAGGTTCATTGCATTCCTATTCCTTTAAATGGCATCCCAAATGCTCCTCCTTCCACCAGTTCGATCGCCCGCACCAGAACGCGCAGTACTGCATTGTGTTCCACTGCGGTGTTTTTTTTTTTGTTTTTTTTTTATTGTGCACTGTGATATATAATACATGTAATGTAGTTATATAAAATAGGAGAAGGCTGGATTCACACTACTCTGCAGCATTGCTGGGCATTACCGCTCACACTTAATCATACAATATTTTGAGCATTAACAAACTGAGATGAGATCTTTTTTAAATAAGGTGAATCCTTATTTACACACTTTTAACTGCAACAAGTGTCCCCATTGGAGGATTTCCCCTCTACTTGTGTTCCAATGACTACTCAAAGTTTTAGGTTTTTCTTCACTTTCACTCCCATCGTCAAAGGTCACCAGGATTAACAGAGGGTGAATCCCAGATGGGACACCGACAACAGTAAAAGTCTGACAGGGTTTGTAACCGTTCGCCTCTATATTTAAAATATTATTTTATTGTAACCAAAGTTGTAGTGAATAGCAGTACATTGTGCCCACTATTTAGTGACTGAAGTTTCTTCACATATGGCTGACTGAAATGATACAGGAGAAACATGGGGAAAGCTTCATAATGCACTTTTGTTTTGCTGAACAGCAATGGATACAGGGAACATTGAAATGGGAATGGGATAGAGGGCAGGAATGTAACTAAAAGTGTCTGTCATAACCCTTAACTGTACAGTCCTAAATGTAAACATTGTTGCCCTATAATTTGTTTTATTCTGTAGCATTGTGCTTAGGTTTTAATTTTTTTGTAAATTTTTTTTTCTTCTCTAAAGGGCCATGCACTGTTAATCAGAGAAGTTGATATAGAGAAGGTGGCCATGTTTGAGAATCCCTATGTAGATGCAATAAAATATCTGTGGAATGACCCTGGGATACAAGAATGCTATGACAGGCGACGGGAATATCAGCTGTCTGACTCAACTAAGTAGTAAGTATTATGTGACCAGTCCAAACTCCATATCATTTACTGTACAATAAAGTAATAGGTAAAAACTGTTCTAACATCCAGTGCTTCACTAGGGTTATCCTACTCTAAAGCCGGGTATACACGCTTTGAATTTCAGCCATTTCTAGATGAAACGGCCGAAATTCTATGAGTTGGTGCCTATTGGCACCTTTTTCCAACTGTCATCCCTTGATGCACTGATCAAAGGAGCATGTTGGAAAACTGTTGGCAGAGCTGGCAGTTCATTGGCTGCTAGCTTTTTGTAGGTATTCTGACAGTGGCTGGCAGCCGCTGTGAGAGTACAATGGGGAACAGCGGGAGATTCCTGGATCAGTGCTCGGAAGTGTCGATGGAGGAATCTGTTCTATTTTCTTCATTCAGCCGGCAGCTTGAACTAAGAAATAGAAGCACCTATACCCAACTTTACACATACAGCCTTCGGACAGGAAACGTGACATGTATGTGACATAGATGATTAGCCTTTTGAAGCATTTTTATACAGTGTTGTAGTATAGCTAGAAATGCAACTGCTGTCTTCATAAAAATAATACAAATATGTTGGCTTTTAGAAAGAATTTGAGTGATGTCAATTCTTAGTCCGGTTTTTTTTTAATCCAGCTTCATGGTTTCACATTGCTGCCTTATAAAAAAAAATAAAAAATTCCCAAGTTAGTTTGTCACATGCCTCTTGTGCAAACATGACCTCTTCTGTGCTGGAGACAAGTTAAAAGAATATATGGCAAACAAGCCAGCGAGGTTATACAAGCATGACTAGATTTTTCTGTGAAGCATTTTCTATATGTATTTATTTTTGCAAGATTAAAAAAATTAAGTTGTACAAAGTCTCAAGAGGCAAAAATTACACTGAGTGGCCAGATTATTATCACCACCTGACATTTGTAGGCTAATTAGCTATAATTTCGCGCTGAAGTTGCTAGAGGGCCAGACCATTATAAATAGGGAAGCATTTTGTTTACCACGACAGTAGAAGTGATTTTTTTTCTGAAGATATGGGTAAACAATGCGATTTAACAGCCTTTGAATGTGGGATGCTTGTTAGGCCCTCTCTAACACTCTTCCTCTACCCCACCTTCTAACTGTTACCCAGCTTCCTACCTCAATGGTCCTGCTTCTCTGTGTTACCACCCTCCTCTAAGCTGGCCCCTGCCAGCCCTGTTAGGTAAGGTCCCAACTCCTCTCCATGTTGTTAATGCTCCTTAGTGTTGCCAGTCGCTTCTATAGATCCAGAATCTGCCCTTCCAAAATAACCATTTGCTCACATTTCACAACAGTATTCTCCCTTGAAAGGTTGCTCAAGGAACGCATACATTGAGCACAATGTGCACTGGATTTTATTCACTCCCATAGAGATCATACTTATGATTAATGGGGATGTCAAGATTGCTTTTTTATTCATTAATTCTATTTGTTTGTTTTACCCTGTCAGCTCTTGTTATCTTTGTTTCTATATCTTAGCTTATCCCAGCAAAACACAATGAATTTTCACATATAACTATCACAGATTCGCATCCGCGGCAACTCGAGGAACTTACCCAGGTCATAGGCAGACCACTGTACATAATCTTTATGGACACTAATGACTGATACAGTACCAGATGATTGGCGGAGAGCATATGTGGTACTAATATACAAAAAGGGGAAACAGTTCACCGGGTAACTATAGGCCAGGGTAATATCTATTAAGGATTTTAATGAGTCTCAACTGCGGAAACACTATGGTATGATTTGCAATATAGAATTACTTAGAGGAGAGGAGAAAGGCCAAGTAACATAAACATATGTAGAGTAATGTTCAACTGAAAGTGACATGCGCTACCTTACGCAGGTTTGGTATAATAGACTCGCAGGAACCTGTATTAACTCGTACAGATGTAGCGCAGTACACAATGTCCTGTGTCCTTGATACTGCTATCTTGCAATAGTAACGCATGGTTTGTATTACTTCATACATTTACAATATATTGCATACGTCTCTCAATGGCCAGTATTACATCATACGGCTACGAGGGTGAAAATGCAGACTTAAACATTGGAATGAAGCAACAGGCCTGATTTTGTAGAGCTGATAATGCAGATTTCAAACACAGAGCTGCAGCAGCAGGTTTGAATAATGCAGGCTTCACCCAGAGTATGATTGCATAATGGATCACCCAGATATAAGAGTACTGAGAACACACACACAAGTCGGCAGCAGTGGATTAGATTGTGATGAGCCTCACTGGAGTATTAGCTTGTCACAGATGAGAAGTGAGACGAGGTGAGACTCCATGGGTGTTGATTAGTTCTCAAGCAGGAAAGGAGGGATGTGGCTGTGTGAGACAGAGATCCAATGTCTTACAAATTACACAGACGCCGGCTGTTTCAACCTTGTGGCCTGAAGAGGAAGAGATCAGGTGACACAGTGGGACCTGATTGGTTGAGGGGTGGAGCTCTACTCTGATCCTGAAAGGTAAGTATATTACAGCCAGTCAGCTTAACATCAATAAGGTTTAAAATATTCAAAGGCATGATAAGGGACTACATGTAGGAATTTGCACATAAAGCTGGTATTATAAGTAGAAACCAACATGGCTTCATGAAGGACTGTTCTTGTCAGCCCAATCTATTAACATTTTATGAGTAGGTCAATATTAATTGAGAGGAATACCAGTAGGCGTGGTGTATCTGGACTTTGCTAAAGCATTCTATACAGTACCCCACAAACGTTTGATTCACATACTTGGGTCTATCGGTTTGGAGGAAACTGTTTGCACATGGGCGTAAAACTGGCTGCAAGAATGGACCCAGAGGGTAGTAATAAATGGATCGTTCTCTAATTGGGCAAAAGTCGGGAGTGGGGTTCCCTAGGGGTCAGTCCTGGGACCAATCTTGTTTATCCTGTTCATCAACGACATGAGGATAGATACTTTGATTTCCATTTTTGCTGACAATACTAAACTTTGTAGGGCAGTAAATGCCAAACAGGGGATATGTGCACTTTAACAAGACCTGGATAAAATTTGAAGTATGTGCTACAAAAATGGCAAATGCAATTTAACGTTGAAAAATGCAAGGTCATGCACATGGTTGCAAAGAATGAGTGTACCAACTACTATCTGAAGGGGGAGGGCTGCATTAGGGAAGACTGACATGGAGAAAGACCTGGGGGTGCTCATAGATCACACATTTGGCAATAGTCTGCAATGCCAATGTGGTTAACAAAGCAAACAGGATACTGTCCAGCATTAAAAGAGGGATTGTAGCAAGGGATAAAAGAATACTACCACTGTATAAATCACTAGTTCAACGTCATCTTGAGTATGCGCTACAGTTTTGGTCACCAACTCTCAGGAAGGACGTCCTAGAGCTTGAGAGAGTTCGAAGAAGGGCTACAAAATTAACCACTTGCCGTCCGCCCGTTGTAAAAAAACGGACGGACGGCACTGCAGCATTGGTGGGTTGCCGACTCCAGACGGCATTTTTTTTCTGCTCGCGCGCTGCCCTTTGGGGCAGAAAAGACCCGACCAATGCAATAACAATTAAACGTATTCTCATTAGAAAAGGGGTGATTAATAGGGGACCTTATTGCAGTCTTCAAAATCATCAATGGGGATCACAATATTCGGAACAAGTTGTTTTCACCCAGAACAGTATTAAGAACATGTGGACACAACAAGAGGTTAGAAGAGAAGGGGGTTCAATCTTGGAACACGTAAAGGTTTTTTGTTTTTTTTTACTGTGCGAGTAGTAAAAATATGGAATTTCGTTCCACAGGTATCCTCCTATCTATCTATCTATCTATCTATCTATCTATCTATCCACACACACAGGTTGAACTGGATGGACCTTGGTCTTTATTCAACCTAACCTATGTTACTTTTACCACTACTAAACTCGTTAGCCAGCACACAATGTGATATATAATTGAGCAGATATGAAGGTTTTATGTTCCTACCAACTTTGCACAATAGATTAGAATGCTTGTACTGTGACTTTTTTCCCTGAAAGATAGACCATATTGTGCATGGTTCCTTAGAGTTATGAGCTGGTGACGTCACACACACGGAAGTTGATTGCATTCAGTGGATATGTTTTTATTTTTTGCCTAGAATGTGTATATTATATATGGAAAACTGTTCATTGATATTGCGTTCTGTCATTCAAAGCCATGAATATATTTTCCTTAAGCTGTGCACAATCATGATTCACATAATATGTTGTAATGTACATATAAGTAGAGATAATACATGTTTATGGCAAGTATTTATTTGCCACATGCAACTCCTTCCTATGTGTTTGTAGCCTATGGCTTGTAAACTGTATCACTGACTTGTATAACTACCATCTGTTCTCTTATGTGCAATTACAGCTACCTTAATGACCTGGACCGTATTGCACAGAAAGGATATCTACCTACCCAACAAGATGTGCTCAGAGTCAGAGTGCCCACAACAGGAATTATTGAATATCCATTCGACTTGCAAAGTGTGATCTTCAGGTAGATATTAATTGGATGTAACTGCTACTAGAAGATCATAATTTCTTATATAATTACAAGCAGTCACTCTACTGTTTGGTATCACTGTGTGCACCATACTGAACATGACTGACCAGAGAAAGCAAAGGAGAAAGTTGTCTGCGGACATCAGAAAGAAAATTATAGGCCAGCATGTCAAAGGTAAAGGCTATAAGACCATCTCCAAGCAGCTTGATGTTCATGTGACTACATTTGGAATTGTTATTAAGAAGTTTATTATTAAGACATTTAAGGTCCATGGGAGTGTAGCCAACCTCCCTGGACATGGCTGCAAGAGAAAAATCAACTCCAGACTGAACAGAAAGAGCCAAGGAAAACGTCTACAAAAATACAAGCTGTACTCCAAGGTCAAGGTACATCAGTGTCTGATTGCACTATCCATTGCTTTTTGGGTGACAGTGGACTCAAAGGAAGACTGCACTGTTGGAAGAAGCCTTAATGCTTTTGGGAGAATGTCCTTTGGACAGCTGAAACAAAACTGGAGAATTTTTGGCAAATCGCATCAGCTCTATGTGTACAAACAAAAAAAATGCATTATTTCAAAGACAAGAATACTTTACCTACCGTTAATAGAGGAGGCTTGGTTATGTTTTGGGGCTTCTTTGCTGCATCTGGCACTGGGTGCCTTCAATCTGTGCAGGGCACAATAAAATCTGATAGAATTCTAGAGCAAAATGTAATACCTAGTGTCAGAAAGCTGTCTCAGCTTGTTGGAAGACCCCTGACCTACAACTAACACACAGCTAAAAGCACCCAAGAATAGCCAAGAACAAAACATTGGGCTATTCTGTGAGCCCTGATCTGAATTCTACAGAAGATCTATGGAAAGAGCTGAAACTTGCAGTCTGGAGAAGGCACCCTTCAAAACTGAGACAGATGGAGCAGTTTGCTCAAGAAAAGTGGGCCAGTTTACCTGTTGGAAGGTGCAGAAGTCTCAGTGCGTGCAAGAAAAATTGCTGATTTGCAATGATTGCCTCTAAAGCAGTGGTTCTCAACCTGTGTAACCTCAGGACCCACATTTGTCCTTAGTCATTAAGTTGTGACTCAAGTCGCACCGCACTAGAATGCACTGTATTGCGGTACCACACGCTCCGGTGCGGACAATCAAACTGTGGGCAAGAAGTGTGTTTGTGGTGCCATTCAAATGAATGCCAAAGCAACGTATCCTCCCGCACCAGAACCCGCGGTAGGTGCGATTGCAGGGTACAGGCCATTAATCACACGGGACTGTGCGATTAACGCATTGTATAGTGTGAACGGACCCTCAAAACCGCTGACACGCACAACCACACACACAATCAGACATTCTCATACACACTGTGTGTATGCAGATCAGAAATATTTTACGTTACTTTGAGTTTGCAATTTGCATTCCTGATTCAGGTCAGTGACTGAGAAGTGATTCAAGCCAAAGGCAGCCAGGCGACTGTTGCTGTTATAAGGTCATCAATGGTAGCTCCCATATTTCTTTCAAAACAGGGTTCCTTTAAAGTGATGTGTGGCTATTATTTTGTATTTTTTTTGTATTAGTAGTAGTTAGGTTGATTTTGGTTACCTGCTTTATAAGGTTGATGGCGGTTACATTGTTTTTTTATACATGGGATTGTGTTTTTTATTTTCTTCCACATGAAAGAAATGAAAAATGTTTTGTTTTCTCTTAGGCTTCATTAACATTTCACTTGAAATGACAAGAAACATTTTGGCCAATTTAGCATAAAAAGGCTGGATAGTGATGAAACATGGATAGAAAGCAAATCGTTTTTCCAGTACTGAATGCAAATGTTGGCAGTCATCTGTTGTACTAAGTAAATCAAGTCCATGAAAAACACCATCCATGAGAAGTGACACAAGGATTTTCAAAGCATTTTGGGTGTATTATTATGTTGTGTACCTGTTGCTCTCCCCAGTCAGCTAATCCTTTTATTCTCGTTACAGAATGGTCGATGTAGGAGGCCAGCGATCAGAGAGGAGGAAATGGATACACTGCTTTGAAAATGTCACTTCCATAATGTTCCTTGTAGCACTTAGCGAATATGATCAGGTCCTTGTGGAGTCCGACAATGAGGTAAATGTATTTTGTTTTTTATTTTCTCTTAAAGCTGAACTCTAGATATAACTTTTTATGCATACTTACAATTGGCCAAGCTGGACCAATGGAAGTATGTTTTAATAAAAGCTTACCAGGTGATCCTGCTGTAAAAGTCCTTATTCTAAGACTTCCTGTTATGGGGTAACAACCGTCCCTATGCTCCTGTGTTGTCACCCTGTCGCAAGCTCCCCTGGTGCTGACTACATGGGGCTGTGCTGGCTCACTTTGCATTGGCGGTTTCCACTCTTTTCAATACCCAGAAGCCAGTCAAGAGCAATGATGTGCAGCAGGCACTGAAACAAATGCACGTAGACATGAAGCGGGCTAAAAGAGGCTGCAGGAGATTATCAGCACTGAGATGCAGGAAAGTATGAAAAAGCAAAAATATTTTAGGGACAAAAAAATTGCAGCAGCTTGACGCACAGCGCTTTAGCAAACTAAATGTCATCCCATTAAGATTTCAATGTATTTTAAGTGGATAGCAGCACAATTTGCATAGATAACAACATTTTAATGTTTTCATATGGTTTTTTTTAAATTAAAGTATGAAGTATGGGGAGAGTAAAACCTACTTTTCCCAGTACTGGGAAGAGTATAGGACACAGCAACTGTCACGCTCCAGCTCTAAGACTGCGAGCTGATTGATTACATGACCGTTGATCATTAAGTCTCCCACTGGAGAGCAGTGATTCCCCCTCACCTTTTTACTACTACTACAGACAGGGAAGGGAGTGGGCGAGGCTGGCCCTGGCTCAAGGCCAAGCAAGCTGTCAGTTTGGCAGCAGGGGTGGATCCTATCAATATTGTTAGGATCCTTCTTGATATGCGTCAGCCGATAGCGAGCATAGGCACGTTTTCTGCTGACTTTGGGTCACAGGAGTACATTAATATATAAAAAATTGGATTTACTTCTCTTTTAACCACTTCAAGACCAGGTGTTTAGACCCCCTTCCTGGCCAGGCCATTTTTAGGGTTGAACGTAGAATTAGAATTGTCAAGGATTTATTATGAATAAAGACCAGTATTTTAACATGACAAATATTTCCAGGTGCAAGAGACGCATCTGCAAAAAATTGGACTGTCCCTGGAAATCTAGCCTATTTCACAGCTATGCATTTGTACGGACTGTGCTATCTGGATGTCATGCATTTGCCTAGATTGGTTCTGCAATAGATTTGTAATTGGATGTTATTTTTCAAGCTCCTGGCAGAAGTCATTGGACACTAATTACAATCTGACTAAGCTTTCACTATTATAGGACAAATACATTTGGATCAGTGTGTGTGTGTGTGTGTGTGTGTGTGTGTGTGTGTGTGTGTGTGTGTTCTTCCCCAAATCTACATGCTTTCATATTTTGCATATACAAAACAATTTGTACAAATGAGATCATAACGTTAGACTGCTGGTGCAGGAAATGTGAGTGAATTACAACAAACAATTAGTAGCCGCAAAATCTAATTATGCTGAAATAATATTGCAGCTAAATGGATGAAGACTGGTCTCAGCAAATGTAAGCTAACACAGAATAATCCACATGTCAATAGTGCTAAGAGTAAAACAGAACACTCCCTATTTACAGGCATACACTGATCAGCCATAATATTATGACCACCCATCTAATATTGAGTAGGTCCTTTTGCTGCCAAAACAGCCCTGACCCCTCGAGGCATGGATTTAACTAGACCTCTGAAGGTATGCTGTGGTATCTGGCACCAAGCTGTCAGTAGCAGATCCTTTAAAGCCCATTTCCACCTTTTGCAGAGGTATTTAAAAAAAAAAAAAAAATATGTCAGCAATGTACACTGAGTGTACATGAAGCAGACATATGCAGTTGCTTCCCCAGGTAAGCAAAGCAAATGCACCCAGCCATCCACAAGTTGTAAAAGAAAACCTGATTCATCAGACCAGACCACCTTCTTCAATTGCTTACGTCCCCATTGTAGGCACTTTTCATGGTGGACAGGGGTCAGCATAGGCAACCTGACTAGTGTGTGATGCACTGTGTGTTCAGACACTTTTTTTGTCAGAACCAGTATTTAACTTTTTCAGCAATTTAAGCTACAGTAGCTCTTCTATTGGATCAGACTACCCGGGCCTCCACTCTCCCACGTTCACCAATGAGCCTTGGCTGTCCATGACCCTGCCGCTGGTTCACCAGTTTTCCTTCCTCGGACCACTTTTGATAGGTCCTGACCACTGCAGACTGGGAACATCCCACAAAAGATGCAGTTTTAGAGTTGCTCTGACCCAGTTGTCTAACCATCACAATTTGGCCCTTGTCAAAGTCGCTCAAATTCTTACAATTGCCCATTTTTATCAACTTCAGGGACAAAATGTTCACTTGCTGCCTAATATATCCCACCCACTTCCAGGTGCCATTGTAATGAGATAATCAATGTTATTCACTTCACCTCTCAGTGGTCCTAATATTCGGGCTGATCAGTGTATGTCGTGTAAGGGTTGCTTTCTTTAACACTAAAAACCCATAGCAATTTCTGTTTCACCTTTTTTGTTATTGACTCTCCCTCAAAAACATCTACCTACCCGTTCGCTGTCTTTCAAATCTCACAAAGATTTTTTGTAGAGCTGCAGCTAACGATTATTTTCAAAATCGATTAGTTAGCCGATTATTGAGTTTGGTTAATCGGATACAAAATTAAATAAAATACATTTTAAAAAATGGCTCCAGTGATGGGACTACTAGTTTGTATTGAGATTGTAGTCCATCACAGGAGCAAGCTTGGAGCGGTGGAAGTAAATAAGAAAAAAAAAAAGTGTGGTGTGCAATATAGTGAAATGGAAAGTGTAAAATTATAGAGCAATGAATGCAGAATGGCACCGGCAATAGAGGAATACAACAAGTCCCAGCAATAATACATTAAATCTGGCGGTATTCTGCATTGCGCTGTATAATGTACTATTGCTGGAATTTGTAGTCCTCTATAGCTGGTGGTACTCTGCATTGCTGTATAATGTACAGGAAAAAAAACGTGTGGTGTGCAATATAGTGAAATGGAAAGTGTAAAATTATAGAGCAATGAATGCAGAATGGCACCGGCAATAGAGGAATACAACAAGTCCCAGCAATAATACATTAAATCTGGCGGTATTCTGCATTGCGCTGTATAATGTACTATTGCTGGAATTTGTAGTCCTCTATAGCTGGTGGTACTCTGCATTGCTGTATAATGTATTATTGCTGGGATTTGTAGTCCTCTACAGCTGGCAGTATTCTGCATTGCGCTGTATAATGTACTAATGCTGGGTTTTGTAGTCCTCTATGGCTGGTGGAGGTGCAGGCTTACCTGAGCAGTCTTCCAGCAACTTGCTTCTGAGATCGGGCCTGTCTATCGGCAGCTGTCATCCCCCCACACCTGCTCCTCCTTACTTCTTCTCCCCGCGTCCCTGTGCCGATCATGGATGTGGGAGGAGGTGCGGCGTGTGGATGCGCGCGGGTCTGGCAGCAGCGAGCGTGAGGAGGAGGCAAGGCGCGCAACATGTGTGGAGCCGTGAACAGGGCCAACTAACCAGAAGCCGATTAATCGATGATTGAAAAAGTTGACAACTTTTTCAATAATCGATTATAATCAATTATGTCGATTAGTTGTTGCAGCCCTAATTTTTTGCAGTAGGAGCCTTGTCATGGAAGGTGAGATTTTTTTTGTCTAGCTTAGACCTGCTGAAATGACATGTTGGGCAGGAGGCGTTCCCACACACAGGAACTTAGATTCTAAAACCTGCATGTATGGATGGCAGGGGCGTGGGGGGCCGCTTAGAAATGATCAGGCATTGTTATGTCCATTTTTGCTAAACTATTTTTTGGGGGTTTTTTATGGGTTAATTGGCTCACTGTCTATGGAGCACTACTGATTTTGCCATGCCTGACATGCATGACCAGATGAAAGCCCTTAAAATAAGGCAGGTGAAAATTCAGGGGACATGAACATTGGCCTTTCAGTGATTTCATACATTAATAGACATGATATACAAGCAATAGTATGTTTGTATATATAGACTCTTTCATATCCATCTAGATGTCAGTCTGACGGGAGCATCATTTTTGTGCCGGGTGGTTTTAGGTCGTTCTACCGTAACCCGAATCTTGTCAGTGTATATGTGCTTTTAAATAAGCAAAACCTAAGCCAATACTAAAATGGTATCTTTTTTACTGTTGTGACATTTACTGAAGTATAATAATTGGTAACACATGGGGGCATATTTATGAAGCAGCTCATGTGACATTCACCATATATTCACAGAAGGGGTTTCTTTATAGTGCATGTTAGCCACCTGTGAATGTTTGATGAATCTCACTTTCACCACTTTATAAATATGCCCTATAGTGTTTACTGCAACACAATGTGTGTAACTCTAGACTCTTCTGTTCTTGCAGAACCGGATGGAAGAAAGTAAAGCACTATTTAGGACGATTATCACATATCCCTGGTTTCAGAACTCCTCAGTCATCCTCTTTCTAAACAAGAAAGATCTCCTGGAGGAGAAAATAATGTACTCTCATCTAGTTGATTACTTCCCTGAATATGATGGTAAGTCATAGTTTTATAGGTATTCTCACTCTGGCTGTATATAGAGGGGATAAGCCACATTCTCCATTTTCCCACAACAGGCTGTCTAATGGCCCTTTTTAACAGTTTGCACAGGGTGACAGTAGACCGTCTTGGCTGTTTTAGGACATATACAGTAAATGTAACAATATTGAGCAACCAATATTCATCTAGCTGTGCGTTGCAATAATGATTGTGTGTGTGTACACATCTCTATGGACTTGCATACCCCTGTATTATTTGTAAACGTAGAAACGCAAAGTTATCAACACTCTTAACTGATACCACAAACTAAAACAGAGTTCCACCTTTTTACTGCTCTGACAGTAAAAAAAAAGAAACCCTTATGCAGTCCATTAAACTTGATTGTCTAACTTCATGTTGTAGCCCTGTGTCTTGTTCAAAGCCTTTAGATTATTTATCCCCTATACTGCAGTCACCATTGATATTTATAATTTGTATATTGCGATTAAATCCCTTCTTTAAGCATCTCTTCTCTAAGGAGAACAAGTTCAATTTCTGTAGTTGTCCTCCAACCCCTTTTTTAATTTAATTGCCCGTCTATGGATTCCCTCTAGTTCATGGACAACTTTGCTGAGGATTTGTGACCAAAAGTGAACTGCATACTCAAGATAAGACCGAACTAGTGTTTTGTCAAGTGGTGGAACTATAGTTTTATCTTTTTAATGCATTTTAATACTGTATATTACTGGCTTTGATAGCTACAGTTTGGCATGTCATGCTATTGGTGAGTCTGTGTCTATAAGAGCCCCAGAGCTTTCTCCATCCCCGACCTCCCCAGAGAGCACCTTTTTTAGAGAGTATCTTGTATGCATATTTGTAGCTCCCAAGTGCATAACTTTACATTTCTCACTATTGAATCTTATCTGCCATGTTCCAACCACTTCCTTTTTTAAAGTCTCCTTGTAGTAATTCTATATTCTGTTGCAAAGCTATTGCCCTACATATCTTGGTATCATCAGCAAACACTGAGTTTAAACTAATAATTCCAACCTCTATATGGTTTATAAACAAAGAAAAACAGAATTGGTTCCAAGACCAAATCCTGGGGCACTCCGCTAAGGAGCTTTAGACCAATTTCATAAGGAGCCATTTATCACTACCCTCTGGATCCATTCCTGTATCCAGTTTTCCATCCATGAACATACACTTTCTTCAATGGTAATAGACCTTAATTTGTAAGTTAATTGTTTGTATGGTCGAATGCTTTAGCAAAATCCAGATAAACTACGTCCACTAGCATCCCTCTGTCTAAATCAATGCTTACTTCCTCACAGAATGTTAGTATGTTGGTCTGACAAGAATGGTGCTTCATAAATCCATGCTGGTTGTTACTTATGATACCATTTTCACTGGCAAATTCATCAATAGAGTCTCTTAATTTGATTTGATTTGTTTGCAATAGGTTTCTTAAGTCTTTTTTTTTTTTTTTACTCTTATATCTGTCAACCTCCGAGGTACCTTCAGTACCCTTTTTTTAGCATTACGGTTTTGTTTATTAAACCCATCTTATTTTTTTATATTTAATACATTCTTCTCCTTATCACTCTACCAACTTTCCCTGTTCATCTTTTTTTTTTACGTGTTCTGTCCTTATCTGTTTACTAATGATATATTTTAACGTTCAGGCTTTTTTTTAACTATCTGTAGCAATGTTTTTTAGGCTTTCTTTGCTCCGATGACAGTTTTGCATTTTTTTTGTGGCATTCCTTGTAGTGCTGAAATGCCCATGATAACCCTTCCGTCATATATATTTGAAGCCAGTTTTTTCTCTCGTGTCATGTGACCCTAGGATTTAACCACCCAGGCTTAACTTTTGTTCTTTTATATTTGTTACCTAATGAATGTACTGGCCGTTGTTTAATATGTCCTTTAAACATTCCCACTTGTCTTCAATGTTCTTTGTCAAGAAAATAGGTCTCATTTCATATCATACAGTAAGAAGTGCAGCTTAACCCCTTCATGACTAAGGCCTTTTTTTCATTTTTTTTGCACCCATGGTATATTCCACATTTTGGCCTGAAAATTACTAAAAACCCCCAAACATTATATATTTTCTGACAGCCAAGACCCTAGGGAATAAAATGGTGGCAGTTGCAAATTTTTATGTTGCACGATATTAGCGCAACTCCTTATCAACCCCCAAAACCCAATTTTAAAATAAAATATAAAAGATGAGGTTAAAACGAGTAAATAGATACCCAATATGCCCAGGTTAAAAGATGTGTGCGCCCGTGAAATAGTGACACAATTCAGTACCCCAAAAAGTCCATAGATGACGCTTTAAAAGCCCCCACAGGCCATCAGTTTAGAGATGCCCTAGAATTATTGCTCTCACTCCGGTGTGCGCGACGATACCCAACTTGTGTAGCGCATTCGTCGTTTTCATAGGTAGGCGCACCCAACGCGTGTTTACGTGAAGACGTGTGTGCTCGTGGGGTGGGGGACTTTAAAAAAATGTTTTAATTATTTTTACATTTATTTAATGTCAATTTTATAATCTGTTTTTTGTTTTGTTTTTTTAAAACTTTACTTTAATTGCTATTACATAGGGGTGCTTACAAACCATCATGGTGGTGATAGGTACTCTTTAAGGTGATGCTGGGGGTCCAAAAGACACCCAGTGTCACCTTTACACTCTAAATAAGCTATTGAAGTGCAGATCGCATTTCAATAGCTTATTGCTGGGCTTCAGAAGCCCAGCTGAGATCCCAGAAGCCGCCAGAATCGCTTCTACTGTCGTTGGTCATGAAGGGGTTAATACAGTTGGCCTTTTTAAAAATGTATTGTTCTTGCCATACCAACATGTTTCTCTTTCCTAAATTTTACACAAACGTTATTGCTCTACAATCACTGTTACCCTTGTTTTCACATGTGCAATTCACAGCTCCATTTTATTTAAAATTGGTAAATCCAACCGAGCATTTTTTCTGATGTCGCTTCCACCAATTCACCCATGAAATTCTCCTGCAATAAGTTTAAGAAATGACAATTTCCGACCTTATTTTCTTCCCCCAAAAGAGCTGCCTTCCAGCCCCTTGCCCCCAATGTAGAGCCAGTAGCCAACTGAAAAGTCATACCATTTCCCCATGAACTCAAACCCTCTTTCTTACACCTGTTTCTGAGCCACTTGTTCAGCTTCCTCCACTCCTGCTGCCTCTCTGGTGTGGCTCCATGGCACAGAAAGTATTTCAGAGAATACTACCTTGGAAATCCTTTTTAGCACGGCACCCAAGTCTCTGATATCTTTAAGCACGCTTCATCTTCCTCTGCCTTTGTCATTATTACCAATATGTACCATGTCAGCCCCACCCAACTATCTTTCCATCTGATCCATAATGTGCTTCGCCCGGATGCTCGGTAAACAACATACCTGTTGGCGATCACAGTCTTTGCGACATTACTTTTTCTGCCCATCTAATAATGGACTTCCCTACCACCAGAATTTCTTTGCCTTAACTCCTGCTTCCATCCATACTGCAGCAGTCACTCGCCTGACAGCTAGGGGGTGTATTCCACTCAAGCAATGCCACTCCTGATCTGATATCCCCGAAATCATGCAACCAAGCATATTTATTGGGATGTAACAACTCAGAACTACCCTCTCTAACACTTTGTCCCCTACCCCATCTTCTCTCTGTAACCCAGCTACCAAGCCATTTTTTTTCTTTTTTGATTACAATTACTTTAGGTCCAAGACCAGTCTATTTATTTGTGCCCCACAGTTATCACAGTGCACTGTATGTCTCACCATTCCCAGCAGTTATCACCATGCCTAGGTGTTATTAGAGTGGAGAGCAGTTGTCCTAGTACCCAATAGTTATTACAGTGCCCAGCAGTTATCACAGCACCCGAAAGTTATTGCCATTCCCAGCAGTTATCACAAAACAAATAGTTATTATAGTGCCCAGCAACTAGCCCAGCTGTTCTTAGGCCCCATTTACACTAAGCGACATACCTTTTGGAGCGGATCCGCGCGGCCAGGATAGCGCGACGTTCCAGCTCATTAGACATTAGGACAGCTCCATTGAAAATCATTGGTCGGCGACTTCTCGAGATATCGCGCGGCAAAAATGCACGATATGGCGGCGGAAAACGCGCGGCAATCCGGCTCAGTGTGAATGGGGCCTTATAGTAACCCAGCCACTCAAACAGCCCCTCCCCCCACGTTCTCGGTTCTCGCAGCATCTCCTTCACACCTAACTATCCTTGTCACCCAATCGGCTCCACACAGAGGTCTCCCATGCTGTCTGATGAGCCCATCTCCACTATTTATGTCTGCTTTTCTCTTGGTTTAAGGATAACAATGTCACATTAAGTGACAGCCTGTGATTTATTGTTGGGGCAGGAAGCTCATGACTCTGAGACCTTTTTACATAAAGTTCCTACTGACTGTCAAAGCACAAGCAGTAACATCACATTGCCATTAGTAGAAATTACTATATGGAGAAGAATTGGTGGGTCCAAAGTACAGCAGATCTTTGCTGCTTTCAGTGGTGTCCACTCTCTTTGCTAACGGAAATAAAAACGTAGCTGTGTATTCTTTATTTATAGCTGAATGAAGGTAAAAAAAACTATGAATTAGGATTACAATTATTTTACATATTTTGAAAAATAAACTTTTCCTAAATGTACAGTAAAGGACACAGGCTCTTTAAGTCTTAGACCCTGGGTTATATGCTACGTTCAGGTGATTGTACGTACTGGCAAAGTAAAAGATTTCAGGGACAGCTCCCATATAACACAGCCCTTTCCCAGCAAGCCTCAGTTTTTGGTTGGTTCCTTAGGTGATGGACATGCTTTCTGAGGGAGGCTTACCTCATTATTTACATGCACTTGTTTCTTATATCAAGTTTCTGCTGTATAGCCACTTCAGCTACCGCTTTTCAGCAGCTTTCAGGATCGGTGTACTCACGCAGACCCTATTTGGAAGATGGTGTGGTGACGGCCTGTATTGTTGCTTCCTGCACTGGATCCTATGCAGGCGCTCACCTTGGCACATGGTGCATTGCATTGAGTTAGCTGCAGGATGCTATACAGGTCCAAGGTGGTCCACCGGTCTGGGGAAGCCCCGTCCCTGAAGACCTCCTTGCCACAAGGTGTTATGCCTGCCACAATGGCTTCTGTACCTTGCTTCATATGTCAAGCGGTGCGGCTGTGGTAAGTGAGTTGCCTGTCTCCCCTCTTCTCCCCGTCCTTTCTTGGTGCCCAGTGTGTTGCTTCTAGTCCACTGCTTGGGTAGCGTGGAACGCTATAAACAATGTGTTGCAGCCATGAGCCGTTATTGGGAGTGCTGGTTTTTCCTGAATTTGGTGCCATATCAGCACTAGAAGCAGGGCCCTGCGGCTGCCCTCAATGCCTGAAGGGCCTCTGGGATACATTCTTCCTCCCTTACAATGTATTACAGCTTCTTGGGCTGGGAAAGGGGAAGTTCTGGATACCCTCTCATTACAGGGGACATGGTCATCAAAGGAAGCAAGGCTGCCCATCAACGCCTTAGAACCCAGGGTGATGCGGCTGTACCTTAATTGAGGAGGGCCTTCCAGCAGTGCAACCTTTGACAATAGCTGCTTATGGACACTTTTCACCGCAGCCTCTGATGGCGCTGCAGAGTGTAATATTTGGTGGCTGGGGGGAGGCAGTGAGAGGACGATTTTTAAAAAACAAGCAGCAGCTCAAAATTTGGGGATACACACCAATACACGTGTGGTGCTGCATTCCACCAACAATTTTGTACTAAACTTCATCTTTGAAGAGCTTTTGTCCTGTCCTATACTCCAAGAAAAGCATTTTACAGGCAAGTCAAAAATCCTATTGTTTTAGCATAGTTATAAACTTGAAATTGCTGTTTTGCTAGTCTGCAATCTAAATAGCAAATTACACTTAATCTATAAGCAAGCGGGTTAAATAAAATTATATGAGGTAAAAAGTGCATCTCAACCCAAGAACAAAAATTCTATATTTGATATATTGCAGCTTACCCCTGCGTTTGTTTTATCTTATTCCTGTATTTTCACCTTGTGATCCTACCAGTAACACATTTCCTGTCCTAGGGTGACAATGCTCACTCACTGTACTGTATCTATGCAGCACGCCATTGGCACTCGAAGACAGGAAGTGTGTTAGGACTGCAGAACACCTCTCCTCTACAACATAGGATAGAGATGGTCTCTAGTCCTAACACACTTACTGAAAACATTGTTTAAGATCACATTGCAGAGCTCACAGGACCGCACTAAATTTTTGTCAAGATTAACAATCTGGTGACTTAAGCTGGGAATAAACAGACGCTTCCTTCGGTGCAAGACACAAGTCTACAAAACTAAAAATCAGTAAAACCGGAGATAAAGTGATATTTCAGTCTGGATTGGCCCTGACTCACATAACTATCCTACCGTTTGTGTCACAGTAAAGGGTAAACAGGGAGGTGGGAGGGATGGGCCCATGCTTCTTTCTTACAGGAAATATCCAGACTTGTCCTCAGCTGTCTGTATCTCCTAAATGAATGGTCATGAATGACCTCAAGAAGTGAGTAGAATTTGTCCAATAGGTACAAATGTTCAGGTGACAACTGTGTAAGAGAGGGATTTCTCTTACTTTCATTAGATTTCGGCTGCTTCTCAGGGGCAGGACGTGAAAGAAACAAGGCAGCAAAAATAACCTGATAGAGATTTGTAACCCTTCTCTGCTGTATCCAAAACTATTCATACACTTTATAGTAAAGCAAACTCTGATTTTAGTGCACAGGCCACTTTTGCCTGGACCTAAGATCCAAGGAGAGCTCCAAAGGATCAGTCTGAAGACTCCATGACCATGTACTGTCTTAGCAACAGTGTGTTGTCTTAGCGCATGCACGCTGAACATGCATTATCATGCTTTTTATGTGCATTGCACTATGAGGCCCATATTTTTTGGACGGGCCTCAACATATCTAAAATTATGCATGCCATTTTTTTAATTTTTTTTTACGAAATGCACTGATCGCTCACATCTATGTGTTGTAGTGTGTTCCAGCACACATGTACTGCAGTGTTTTGTGTTAGTGCATTGGGAGGCTATTTAAAGCACATGTTGCCATGCGCTTGTAGTAATGCACAGTAACATCCACATATTACTACAGCGCACTGGTGTGAGCGGGTCCGAACATAGGTACTTCTAGGTACCAGTATTAATGGAACAATACAGAGGTTTTACATTGAATAACATTCACTTTATTTTCTTATGCAATGATCTCATGTCTAGAGCGTCCAGTAGTTCTCTCGGAAGCCCCTCCCCCCCACCATATCAAATATGCATTGTCGACATCCTCTGTCCTCTTCCTTCCCCTCCCTACCGCATAAACTTGAGCACTTGGTCAAACTGAGTGTTTCTATTCATAGAGCAGCCAGCAGCCCATGTTACCTGAAGGCAGGTGTACCCTGTCTGCACCTTAACCTCCCTGGCGGTATGATTTTTTTTCTTCCTTTTTTCGTTCTATTTGTTTTCGGGGGGGGGTTTTCCCTGTTTTTTTCTTCTAACTTTTGAATCTCCCGCCGGTTCCGCCCCCCTACGACGCGGACGCTCGCAAGGGACAGAAGAGGGATGCTGGCATCGGCCGGAGGACACAGCGCGGCTCGAGGGACCAGGTAAGAGACACGCTGTGTATTCCTGAGTGTGGCTCGGGGTTACTGCTTAAGGTACAGAAAATTAACCCCGAGCCACACTCGGGAATACCGCCAAGGAGGTTAAAGTGCAACTAAACTCAGGAGTTTAATAGTCCCTGTGTATGTTGTAAAGTAGTCACTGCTCCAAGCTCACTCCTGTGATGGATTACAATCTCCTGTTTAGTTTACTCATTTGTATTGAGATTGTAGTCCATCACAGGAGTGAGCTTGGAGCAGTGACTACTTTACAACACACACAGGGACCATGGGGAACATAAGTAGCCACCCTCCAGAAGGAAGGACAATGTCAGCACCAATTCAGAGTTGATTTGATGATCTACAGCCGAGTGATACACAAATAATATACATTTTTGGTAATAGTTAGGAACTTGAATGTATTTTTAAGATTTACCTCCTGAGTTTAGTGTTACTTTAAGCTGCCCTTTCAGCTGTGTAGGCACTTAGAGTCCAGCAGAACTCAAGGAAGGGGCAAAGTTTTGCACTGTCCAGATCCAATTAGATTGAAATTAGTAGTAGGTCCTTCTTTTCTAAGTAAATGTGTGCTTTCATTCCTACTTTTGTTGTTGGTGTGAATCTTCTCTTTAACTTCTCTTCTTAGGACCCCAGCGAGATGCACAAGCAGCAAGAGAATTCATCTTAAAGATGTTCGTAGATCTGAATCCAGACAGTGACAAAATAATCTACTCTCATTTCACCTGCGCCACAGATACAGAGAACATTCGCTTCGTCTTTGCTGCTGTCAAGGATACTATCTTACAGCTGAATCTGAAGGAATACAACTTGGTCTAACTGTGCCTGCTAGTTTTCCCATTCCCCCTTTGGGCCATTGAAGAAATTCAAGAAGGACTGTATTATCTAAAAGAAACAATTTGCATAATACTAATTTATTGCCGTCCTGAACTCTGTGACTGTCCACAGGGTTTGTAGTAATTATTATTATGATTTTATTTAAACTATGTGGAGGAATAACAGCTGCAGTAACCACGCAGCACCATTTTGTAGGAGAAAACGACTTGCGTTTTGAGTTGTAAGTCGTGCACTCACAAGGGCCGGTTTCGTTTTTATTGCTCCTTTTTTTGTTCCCCCTCATGGAGAAAGAGCAAGGTGCTTTCAGTTCTGCATGATGCTCTGAGGCTCCTTCTTTCTCTTTTAATCCTTTTTCAAGTTAAGGTCTCCCCTACAATAATCCCTTTCTGAGCCGCTTACATTAGTAAACAATTAGGCATAACTTTTTTATTTGATTTCATTTTTTTTATCTTTTATTTTTAAATTCAAGCCATCCTCTTTGCTAATTTATATACTTTTTTGAAGGATAAAAGTATTGATACTGTGATTTTTAAATTATTGACATGTATAAAGTAGATATGGTTTTTGGTACTGTCTTTTGTCACTTCAAGAAAAATGGAAAGAACTCATATGAAGCAGTAGGTACATGAGTTCAGTCATTAGCCATCTACACATTATGAGGACAGACGAGATCGCAGACACGTGATTGAAATGTCTGTGCAAGATTACCAAGACTAACAAAGGGGAAAAAAATGGAGGAGGTTCTGTTGGTTATTTAGTGTGCCATTTTTTTTTTTTTTTTTACGGAGATAGGCTACATGATCTTGGTGGTATTTTATGTTTTACTTGCACATCCAACATGCCATGTACACTACATGTTTTCCCCCAGCTTAGTGCATTGTGTTTGAATATACAGATGCATTTTTCTTAAGGTGATATTGTAGAGCTGACGGAATCATTTGTGCAAAACCAGTATCTAGTTTGCCAAATCTGGCTCTTTTTTTTTTTTGTACTGTACATAGACCATTAAAATGCCAAAACTGACTGATTAGGTTAATGTCATCTGATGCCTGCCAAAAAAAAAAGCCATTTCACATTTTAAAGTAGGTATTTGTTTTCTAGTGTTCCATCTGATTTGCCAAATGAGGAATGCATGTATTACCTGTTCAGGTAGCTTTGTATTTAAATACAACTTCCAGTGCCCTTCATGGAGGAGAAGAGATGCCATATACTTTTTTTTTTAAATTTCTCAAACACCAAGAGGCTGGATCACAGTTTAGGTCCATTCGTTTATTGAACTCTATTCTGATAAGAGTGGTTGGAAAATCATGAACACAAATAAACCAGGGACCTTTAATTACTTTTAAGAGCTGCTATTATGCATTTTCTGTAGGATCCTTAACACATTCAACAGGTCAAAGTATTAGTCCCGTAGTAGGAAATTCATGTGCAGATACACACTAATAAAGGTTTTTTTTTCACATACACCCTTCAAGCTTTGCAAGTTGTTTTGCCCTAAACCATTGGTGGATTTTTTTCAAGCCATGAAGTTAAAAAAAAAGAGAGGCTCAGCTGGGCCTTTTTTAAAAAAAATTATTATTATTATTGTTTTCCTTTTTTTTTATTTTCCGCTATGCAGCATCAGGGGGTTAGGAGAGATGGTTATGATTGCTGAAGCCACTGCCTCAGGGATGCAGAGAGGAGTTAAGAATCAAGTGAACACCAATTACAGATGTTTAAATTCAACCCATTCAGTCCTGACATATCTGTATCTGCCGGACACAGAAGGTTTAAATGTCTGGTTTAATGCTCTCCATCCAAAAGTTGGCTCCCTTATCTAAAGTTTCCTTATTTTGCTCCCTCAAAATACACATGTAATTTAACAAATATAGTTTTAAAAAAATACAACTGTTTGTAGGTGTAGTGCAATTATAAATGCTATAATCATTGTACATACATCTCTCTATTTCTATACATACATATATATAAATATATATATATGGCAGCATCCATATTGGCTTTGTAATCATTAGTTTTTGGCAGACTGAATGTGCTGTATTGATAAATATGTATCTATGTAATTGTATTGTATGTCTTATAGCTTATTCACATTTCGAAAAATGTTAATTATGTTTATTTGCATTTTTTTTTTTTTATGAGAATGTACAATTTAGTTTATTAATGGTAGGGATTTTGTTTTTATCTCCATTTTAAATACTGAATTTCAAGTTACTCTGGTAACCAGTAGTGACAACTGTTACAAAAAATATTTCTGAATAGTGGTACACTTACAGTGGTTGTCTTTTGACAGTGAAAAGTGATTCATTCTAGGAAATCTGAATTTTGGAGACACCATTGGTGTGCATCCTGTTGGCTGATAAGGGGACAAGATTCTGATTTCACACAGTAAATGGTTACTTAATGACCTATCAGCACAAGATGAGGGTAAAACTGGTGCAAAGACCTTTTCAGTCCAAGGAAGTTCAGAAATGTATAATCTATGGAATGGCCTGGACAATTACATTACTCATTGGCTTTTTTTTTTATTATTTTGAAGGGTAAAATAATCATTAAGAAAACAAAGTTTAAAAGCATATATATATATATTTTAATCTAAACTTTTTTTATGGTCCTAATTGCACACCTATTGCTTTTGCAAAAAAAAAAAGGAAAAAAAAGTATTTCAATGCATAACAAACCTAAGTATATCACTTACGTACAGTATATTATACAAGGTGTTAGCACACTTCTAATGTATATAATTGTCACCAATGTTGAATTTCTAGTCAGTGAAAATATAAATATATATTTGTTTGTTTTATTTTATTTTTAATGATGCTGTGACAGAAATGAAAATTGACACTGAAGCTTCACAAGATTTTAGTATTTGTAGTTTTTTTTGTTTGGGGTTGTGGGAGAATTCATATGATTATTACTATGCACCAATTTATTTGCAATTTCATTTTACTATAGGATGATGCAAGTATGACATTCTATAGGATATTTCCAGAAAAAAAACTCCTTGCGCAAGAGTCCGTTTAGAGGCAACAATGTCTTTTTTTTTTTTTTTTTTTTTTTCTCTTAACTCTCTCGCTGTCGAATTTGGTACACTTTCTTTCTGAAATAAAAATGCCCTTTAGAGCCTAGATTTTTACCTAATGTGTTCAATGTTGCAGTTCTAAAGATGTCCAGTAAATGAACAAATCTTTACCATACCAATGCATATTTCTTTTTAATTTAAACCCCCCTCCATTGTTTTTACACAACTTTTACCCTTGTTTGCACAAAACTAAAATGAACGTACAGGGGTTCCCATTAAGAATGTGTCAGTATTCCCAGATATTATTGTCATGCCTTATATATATAAGCTCCACATCAGACATTGGTGCCTGAAAGCCAACGCTGTAGGCAAAAATAAACCAGAACTTTTTTTTTTTTAAATATTTGCCAAATGTAAGTGCTTTACTGAATGTCCTGCATGGGAACCTAGACCGTTGATAGCACAAGGAAACTGTAAGATGTGTGCTTTTGAAATTTCCTTTTTTTGTCTAAATAAAACCATTATAATTAACTACTAATGCGCTGTACTATTGTGGAGAGGAGGGATTACTTTTCATGTTTTAAGTGCAGACTATCTTTATGTGCTGGTGTTCAAAATGTATTAAATCTGCCACACATAATTGGAAGAAAATGTGTGGGGGAGGAAGGCATTTTAATGCATTGCTGGTCCTTACAGCACTTTAATGGGTGATGTATATGTTTCTCTAAATGTGCAACTTTTGATTTTGTTTTTTTGGGTGCAGGGGTTTGGGTTAATATGAGTCAAAATGAAGAAAAACAAGACAGAAGGGGCTGCAGGATGTGGCTTTGATCATTTTGCAGCCTATATTGTATACAACCTAAAGCTCTTCCTCCCCTTTTGGTACTGCATCACGAAGGGTAAACCTGTTACCACTCCCAATAAAAATTCAACGTTCGGATTGTATTCTGTTTTTCTTTAAAAACAGGTGTATCCAACGGTTCTCTTAATACTCATACTATTCTGGAAGTATTTCCTGACTATACATCCAACCAAAGATCCACGAGTTGTGCTTCTGGGTGTATATCTATATTTATATGTGAATCCAAGGACACATACACTTACTTTGGATGTATGTGTACTCCTTTGTAATGCTATGCTATTGATCTTTTACTCTGGGATGTCATCTTATTGCCACAAGTTAGGCTAGGAGGAAGACAGATGTTGGTATGTGGTACACTTTTTGAATGAATTAAGCATCTGTTTTTTCAGCAATTAGTTAATTTGGCTTACAATTGAAAGTTTTTTCCTTTTTTTTATTTTAATTGTTTAGTATCAAATTAAACAGTGATGCATTATGCTTTTTCTGTGTCATGAATCTTAATTTTACATGATAAATATTATAATACTGAGAACATATTGGGAAAATGGCGTTCTGCTATTAGGGTACATGTGATTAGCAGACTCATCATCTACATACAGGTCTAGGTATTCCTGATTTAGCTATACTACAGCCAAAAACAATTCTAAGGAATGAGTTTGTTCCATGAATATGGCAGGGGCCAAATGGGTGTCATAGATATATATTCATCTATGAATGTTACATTTGTAAATTATATCCTGTGCAAAAATCAGTTTAGGATACTGTTTTGTGTATGTTTCTATGTTTAATCTTTATACATCCATATCCTAAAACCCAATTTCTACATTTTACAGGGTTATTCACAAAAGGGTGAAGGGTTTGAAGAAGTCAGGAGAAGGGAACAATCTAGGACAACATAGCTGAACTGGAAAGTGAGCTGAATTGGAGAATTGTTTCCAGTTCAGCTATGTTGTCCAAGATTGATTACTTCTCCTGCCTTCTCCAAACTCTTCACTCTTTTGTGAATAACTCTGTTAGCTTTAAACCATTAACTACAGTGTAGATTATTCAATTTTTTTGTTTTGAATAATCTACACTGTAGTTAATGGTTTAAAGCTAACAGAGTTATTCACAAAAGAGTGAAGAGTTTGGAGAAGGCAGGAGAAGTAATCAATCTAGGACAACATAGCTGAACTGGAAACAATTCTCCAATTCAGCTCACTTTCCAGTTCAGCTATGTTGTCCTAGATTGTTCCCTTCTCCAGGTGTGTAAATACTTCAGTTGGTTTTCTTAAGAAGCAAGTATAGAAAAGCCTTTCTCATACCAGTACAGAAGAACCCTTGATTTCTGTGTGGAAGGATTGATTTCTTGCATAGGGCTGACATGCAGCTAGCTGAGTCCGAGCTAGAGCTCTCCAATTAGCAGGAAACATACATTTTGTTGATTTGGAGAGCTCTAGCAGTGACCCAACAGGGAGCCTGTTGGGCCTCTGCAGAGAAACCACTGCTTCCACACAGAGAGCAAGGGTTCTTCCCCAGAATGTTGGCATGGACAGGCTTTTCTAATCAGGCTATAATTGCTTTCTAAAGAAAACTCGACATAACACTTGTTTTGATGCACCTGGGATGTATTAAAGTGACGCTAAACTCAGGAGTTAAATCTCAAAAATGCATTCAAGTACCTGAACTATTGACAAAAATGTATCTTATTTGTATATCACTCAGCTGTAGATCCTCAAATCAGTAGCCACTGCTCAAAGATCACTTCCATAATAGCCTAAAATGTCAATACAAATGAGTAAACTAAACTTGAGATTGTAGTCCATCACAGGAGGGAGCTTGGAGCGGTGACTACATTACAACACACACAGGGACCATGGGGGACAAAAGTAGTCACCCTCCAGAAGGAAGGACAACGTCAACACCAATTCAGAGATGATTTGAGGAGCTACAGCCAAGTTATACACAAATAAGATACATTTTTGTTAATAGTTAAAGTACTTAAATGTATTTTTGAGATTTAACACTTGAGTTCAGTGTCACTTTACCTATCTAAAGCTGGCCATACGTCCATAGATTATCTGCAGATTTTCTATGGTCATTCCTCCATCTACGCTAAACGGTGTGGATGGAGGAATCTCCCACTGGGCCAAGTTTTAGTATCTTGCTAGTCGGCCCCGCTGGCTTTCAAAATACCTGAACAATGCCTGCATCCAATCAGATTGTTCAGGTATTTTGATAGCCAGCCGTGCCGACTAGGAAGATACTGAAGCTTGGCCCAGTGGGAGATTCCTCCATCCTCACAGTTTAGCAACAATGTATTAAAATCAAGTATGCTCCTAACTTGCTGTTTTAGTGGACAATTCTGCCTCTGCTGCACTAAAATCCCAAAGACCATTGGAACAGCTTGTGGTGTTGCCATCCTATTCTGCCTCACATCAAACCCTACTTCCTCTGATCTTCCAGCAAGTAGTATGGTGGGGCAGAATTGTAGTATCGGATCATATTAAGGAAAAGGTGTACCATGAGACACATTAAATAATTTTTTTTTTACATTTGCAGGAGCTATTATAAATAAGTTGTTTGGGAACATGCTGGGAGTTATGCCATGGTCCTTACCATAATGTGCCTGCCTCAGTCAACCTGCCACCCCCAGCCAGTGTAGGGCAGACATAAAGAGGTCAGACTCATAACATGAAAAGCAGTATGTGAGGAGAACATTCAGTAATAATGAGTATCAAGTCAGAATTTTGGAATTGTTTAGATTTCCTTTTTACTCCACCAATGTGATCTTCAGCGAAGTCATAATGATAAAAACCCTCTTATATGGTAAACATACAATATTTTACATTGCAACCTACTGAACAAACAGTTTAGACACGCCAGTCGGAACAAAAAAAATATGTGAACCCCTTTTAGTAAATATTGTACCACCAAACTCATTCTGTAGTTAGGAAGAAAAACCACTTGGCAGGTATTTGCCATATATCCATTTTGAATGTCTTACCTGAACAGTCATTTTTAAATAGAATCTGGTTTACCAGTCATGAAACATGGAAGCTCTTCTCTTTAGACCATTTTGTTGTTGATTTACTCCTATATTTGGAGGGATGGTCATGATCTGAGCTACTTTGAGTTTTAGACGAGACTCCCTGACGTTCTCCTGTGGAATTACCTGATGACTTTATGGGATAGAGTAGCCACTCAATAATTGCAAGCCATGCTAGCTGAGGTAGTAAAATGGAACCCACCAATATTTTACCTCTATTGTGTTTCACACTTGGAAAGCAGTTCACATGTTTATATTCAGTGTTTGGTTTTTTCCCTGAAGACAAAACTCCTTATTTTGAATGTACATAGAAAGTTGTTTTACTAGTATATGTAAGGTCCCAATGACCTTTTAGGTAATGTGGTACATACGGCATTGGGGTTTTTGGAGATCATGGGTTTCCAGCAAGTCTACAATAAACACCACTTTAAGTGTGTTTCCTTTTGTAAGAACGGATGTCATCAAGTGAAAGAAATGTCTCGGTGTGGGGTGCACCTTTGTGCCTTCTTAGGGCAGGTTCACACCATTTTCCGGACCAGATCTGGTCCAGAAAATGGTGTGAACCTGCTGCAGTTCCAGTGC